TTATGAGCTACCATAATATTTTTATACAAAAAAGTCATTCTTTGTCAAGTTAATACCTTTTTACATCAGCATTAATTATAAAACCTATATAAATTGTCTTTTGCAATGGCAAGAATAAAATACAAGGCATTTTTTTTTGAGGACTGGTGTAGTAAAATATTTATATTTCAATGAAAGACTAGGACAGTAAGAATTAGAAATCTTTACAAACCAAGTACTCATTTATACTATGTTAGACTATAGACAACTACATCTGTAGTATGACCTTAAGGACAAGGTAATGAAAGGGAAGTTAACCAGTTTTCTATTGATACAAATGGAGTCCTACAAAACAACAGGTTAGACTTAGAATTGGAAAATACTCCAAAGGAAAACAAGCCCTTTTCAAAACAAGAACAAAAAAAAAAAAAAAAAAAAGAGTTTCAATGTGCTTCTTAAGAGACTGCTCACTGATCAGCATATATTGCCACAGATACTATTTTGCATGGAAAGGAAAGAAGGTTCCATCACTCTTGATATATATCCCACTGAATAAATCCAACTGTGAAATACTCTTTGAAGTCAGCAGGCATTTTTTTTGCTTCAAATCATTTTGAGGGGATTTAGAAGCTAAACAGGATTTAGGCTTGAAAAAAAAAGTGGAAAAAATCAGCTCAGCCTTAAGTGTAAATAAAAGAAAACATGGTGAGAAGGGAGAAAGGAAACTTGACAATTGTTACAGTGGTAAATCAGGCTTGTTTAGAATTATTGGTGGGAGAGAGACTGTAGATAAAGACTCACTAATCAAAGTATGCAGGAAGGAACCAGTGAAAAATATCTTTAAAACCAAAACTGAGCAACCTTATGACTTCGAATGCTTTGAAAAAATTTTAAACCAAGTATTTAGAATCCAAATCTGTCTGATATTTGATGTTCTGAATCAAGCCAACCAACCTCCCTCTTGGCTGAGTTACTGCAATAGCTTCCTAACTGATCTCTCTGCTCCTACCCAAGCCTTCCTAAGTGGTCCTTTTAAAAGGCAGATAATGTCCGCTTTTGCTCAAACCCCTCCCATGGATTCCCATCTTGCTCAGAGTAAAAGTCCAAGTCCTGGTACCAGTGTACAAAGTCATTTCTGATCTAGATCCATCTGACTGTATCCCCTACTGCCCTCCCACTTCATGCAATCCACTCCAGCTCTGCTAGCCTTCTTGTCCCTCCAATACACTAGGCACACTTCTCAGGGACCTGACACCTGGCTGTTCCTTCTGCCTGGCAAGTTGTCCACCCAGGTACCAACATAGCTCACACACTTACTCTCTTCAGGCCTTTGTCAACTAGGCCTTTCCTTACCTACACTATCCCAAGTACAAACTCCTACCACCCAAAACACTCCAGCCTCCTTCCTTACTTAATTTTCCTCCATTCATTTATCACCATCTAACATACTGATGTTTCTTCTATTTTGTCTCTCTTCCACTACAAGACTATAAGCTCCATGAAAGCAAGGATTTGGGCCTGTTTGTTCACCACATATCTCCAGTGCTGAAACACAGTAGTTTTTCAAATTAATGTTTGTCAAATGAATAGATGAAATTTCTATTTTATCACATAAGCATTACCTTCACTTTAGGTATACACACCTCACTGCTTGGGCATGGAAGCTTTGCTTCTGAACTTTCAGCTTGGATTTTCAGATACTGTTGGCCAGTATTTTCTATATGCACCAACTACCTAGCTAAAGAATTTAAGAATAGTATTTGTGAGGCTAGTTTTCATCTAGCAATGTTTCTAAGAACAGAGACATTAGAAGGGTCATTTTCAAGTCATATTTAATATACCTGAATTACCTACTAACGCTGATAAGCAACTCTGGATTCCTGAAGTACTGTTGACTATTCTCTGATCCACATTTATGGCAGAGCTGTGATTATGATAACTGCTGTATTTTAAAATCACAGGGGGAACACCAACTAGAGAGGACTTCTCATTCATCTCTAGCAGAACATATCTAAATCATGCAATCTGTTTTATTTTAGTTTTTCAATATTTGCAGTGAAGAGACACAATAATTTTCTTTATATATGGACCATTTGAAGATCAGAGATAGGGGAGTTTTTTATGTTTTATCCCATAATCCAGTTTTAAGTTCATTTGAGTTTACTTTAAGCATTTCCTAGTGTACAACAGTCTTTTCCAGTTTTGCTTCTATAAAGTAGAATTAGAAAGATAGGCTGATGAAAGGATACAGGAAGAAGCAGAGAGTAAAAGAGCATGAATGAAAGAAATCTGGCAGAGGGAAATCAAGAAGAAATGTAAGAAGAATTCAAGGTTCTGTTACTCTTTCATTTTTTTGATTTCCAAGAGTCTTGAACTAGTTCTTTTCTCTGGGTACTCACTACTTGAATACAAAGTACAGTCAGACTCAGTAAAGGTTAAGAGACAGATGTCTGGCTATTGGTTAACTGTGGAAAAAAGCAAGTCCAGTTATTCAACAACAAAATGTGTCAGGATTTCTTAATAGTAATAAAAGCATGTGGTAATAAGAATTCAATCTAGAGAGAAAGGTCTAAGAAGAAAAAGCAGTCTCCTGCATAATCTCTTGCCACATTTATTCCTTTTCAACCACTGTTAAAAATTCCTTTAGTAATTTTCCAAAAGAAAAATTAAATGCATCTCCCTACATTGATATAAGAATGTGTGGAGTGGGGCTGGGGAATGTGTATTAAAATTTCATTTCAAAGAATTAAATTACAGCCCCTATATAGCAACTTACATTTTAACAATACATTTTGGAGATCTTTCCACGTGCCTAGTCATGCAAGCTCGGTGAAGGATACTTTTGTTTCTAAGCACTGTATTCCTGATGCCTAAAACAAAGGTCTCATGTATACCTATTTTCTAACAGTGATTTGTTAGGTAAATGAATGAATAAATGAGACAATACAGAGTAACTTCCTTGTTTTCAGCAAAAGCGTACTTTTACATTATTTAAATGTATCAGAAGTATCCGTCTGCTATTAATGAACATTTAGAATATTTTCAGATTTTTGGCTACTACTGTAGTAAACTTTCCTGAATCTGTTAATCTTATACATATGTGTCTGTAAGTGAATCCAAGGTAATTACTTAGCAATGTAATAGTTAAGTCGATTGCATTTTTTACTTCAATAGATACTGCAAAGTAACAATCCTAACAGGTTGCATCCTTTTAAACTCTCATTACAATTTTTATTCTGAAGCAAATCACAAGACCCAAACATTAGTGACATACACTTTCCTATAAATTACATTTCTTTCATCTACAGCCTTTTAATGAAAACAGTGTCAGATGAGAGCTCAAAAAACCGAAAATCCTTTCGGCTTTGCTGAGCACTGGAGACATCCTTTTTTTCAAAAACAAAGTCCTTGTTCCTACTGGCCAGCCTTTTGGAACTTGGCCAGAATTCATGGGTAACTGCTTCTTTTGTATATTTCAATAATAAAATAAAATTCTATTATCTCTTTATAAAATTTTCAATAACTGCACCTTTGTTAAACATAAGTAATGATTCAAGAGCACGCAGATAATACTGAGAAAATATTTATATAAGGGAACAGGTAGCAGTCCTGGAGAAGTGCTTCAAACTCTAGCACCCAGGCTCTCATATGGATTCCACTGCTTATTGACATTGAAATAAGAAAAGTTGCCTACATGCAGAAAGAAGGTTGTATTCACATTAACATTCATGAAGGCTGAGCAGCTGAAGCCCTACATATAAAGTAGGGAATATATCCTTTGTCTACGGATGAGAAAATGTCTCAGTGATAAATGGTTACAGACAGGGGTGTCACAAGGGCAACAGCCCACAGAACAGCTCTGACAAACTTAAAAAAAATATTTTGAAGTCTTCTACTGCAGTTCTTTTTGTATCATTGTGGAGCACAGTGTCCTCTCAAATACATATAAAAGAAAAATATTGCAATGCAGAATCCCTAACCTTTACTGAAGGCACTTTTCAGAAAACAAAAACAATATGCTCTTTGAAAAGAATTTAAAACAAAGCTTCAAAGGCATCATGAGGCATAAATATTCAGATATATTCTGAAAAGAAGTGTTCTGCATCCTGCACCCTGGCTGTTAGGATCTCAGCTGTATATCGTTATAAGACAGCAAGGTCGTCAAAGTGCAGTCTGTAACGTCAACACTGTGAGACATTAGGCATATCCTTAAAACGCTTACATCGATCATTTACATAAATTCAAACCCATTAAATGGTCATTTAGTAAATCTGTGAAAAAAAATTATAAACGAAGTCATGAATTTGTTATTCAACAAACATATCTCGCAGACCCCAACAATGGAAGTAACCAATGACTTTCAGTTATAGTCAAAACAAAGTAAGTTAAAATTTGTAGACAGCTTTGTTTCACTGAGAACGGGAAGCCTGAGAACGAGGGCTCGAGGGCAAACATTTCTTGAGACCTGACTCTAGGTGGCTCACTTTCCTCATCTATAAACAAAACACTTAAATAATCGTACCCCGCTGCCCCAGCGTTTCCCTCCAGTATTTTGACTCTTCTGCAGAAGTCTAGTCTTCAGCAGTAATGAGAGTACAATTCAGTTGTGATACGAAGAGTAGTAAGACCTGTAGAATTTTCTAAAGCACAGATGTCAACACTGCTTTTGGGCGTCCTTCCCCCCGTACAGAAACCTCAGGATGTAGGGCAAGAAACGCACAACAGCCCGGACAAATCCTCAGCACCTCCTCACCCCCTCAGTGTTCTCTAGACAGTATTTGCCAGTCCCGTTGTGTGGACGGAGGACAAAGGCGCAGCCGGGAGGTCGCAGCGGGGCGTGGAGTTAACCGAAGCACTCGGCCAGCACCGGGGCTCTCCTGCGGACGGGGGGCGGGGCCTAAGGGGAGGGAGCAGGGGCGGGGCTGAAGCGCACCCCGGGGGCGACCGTGCGCTTGCGCGCCTGGTAAGGGCCTGTGGATGGAGAGCCCGCCTTCGCGCCCCCGCCCTTTCCTACCTCCGCCCTTTTGACGCGATGACGCACGGCAGGTTTGCGGACGTGGCGGCGGCGCACGGCCCGGAAGGCGGAGACGTTGGCGGAGGCGTTGGAGGCGGTGTAGAGGGACGTCCAAAAAACGGAGGCTCGGCCATGAACTTGCCCTGGACCGGAGCGTCGGCGGCGCACTTGGCAGCCGTCTCGTTACGTCCACCCTGCTAACGGGACAGGTAAAGATGGCGGCGAGAGGTGGGGGTGCCTCCGACCCGGCCTGCGGGCTGTGGGCCCAGGGGCGCTCTCGCGGGGAGCAGCACTGGGCCGTCGGCCGCAGGTGTGGTGGGGGGTGGCCAGGCCCGCGTGGAGGAGACCCCGAGGCTGAGGAGATCTTCAGGGCTAGCCCCACCAAAACACCCCATTACACTGTCTGGGAAACAGGCTCAGAGGAGAGCCTGCTACCTACCAGATTCCGAGCAGCACACTTCCCACCCAAGCACAGCTACTGTCTCCCCACAACTTCGTGTTCGTGTTGAATATTCGTAGATGGCGTCTTGTCTACATCATCCGGCTGTGATGGTGTGACATAAAAATCTGAGATTTAATTCAGGAAAAACCGGGGTAAAGAAAAAACTAGACGTATAATGGAGAGGGAAGGAAGTTAAGTTTTAAAAACTGAATTGGCCCTGGGGGATACGGTCTGTGTGATACTGTCCGGGCGCTGAACTAGTTTGTGCCCTTTGGCCCTTTACTAGCTGGTTGAGGAAGGTCAGAATGAAACAGCCAACAGCACAGAAACACCCGACAGCACGTAGGTGTTTGGGATACCGTCTTCACCCGCAGGCTGAGCGGACGAAAGCCTTAACGCCGTATCCATGGGTAATTTTTGTGACTGCTTGTAATCTATGTAGCGTGCAAACTTGTTTCAGTTTTCTGAAGAGGATATTTGTGGTTTTTCCCGCTGCTCTAGGAGAATTACAACAGGTGAAGAAAATTAAGCCAAATGACTTAAAATGTGTATAGTTGGCTTAGATAATTTTCTGTCAGGGCCAGAATCTAGCTTTTCCCTTTCAATTAGAGACATGAGCAATTCTTGATCATTCAGAAACAGAATACCTTGTTTGTTTTATTACTCTTGCATTTCATTACAAAGAGGATTCTGTGATAAGTTCTGGTCTTTAAAATTATCTGGGAATATGTCTTGCCAATGGGTTTCAGCCCCAGGCAAGTTCGCTATGGATTCAGTGTGACCAAAGAAATTGACAGCAAAACTTTCTTGGGGTGAAAGGGTTATTACCCAACTTTATTTCCAGGTGGCAGATGAGTCACTAGAATCCCGTTCGCTCAGAGCGAGTCTGCATGCAGTAGGCTGGTCTCTGGCTCTGGGCCCCTCTGTCTGCACAGCCGTCCCACACAGCCATCCTCCAGGCCTCTCTGCACAGTCATCCCACACAGCCGTCCTCTGGGCCTCTGTCCTCGGTGCTGCCACCACTCCAGCCTCTGCTCTACTCTTCTGCAGCCCTTGTAACCCTGCCACCCTGTCACCCAGAGCACTGGGCGGAGCTCTTTAAATAGAGTCAGTAGCCATGTATTGCCCACAGGTGTGCAGTAAGCTAGTGAACCAGGGCCAGGTGAGAATCCTGGCCACAGGAACTCTCATTTTATCCACAGAATATATCACAGAGAGAGGTTGATACAGATACCTAAAATGGCATTTGGCCATGCTCAGTAAATTTCAGCTGTACTAAGCCAGTTTGAGTTTCTATGGGCACATTATGAGGGAGAAAAAGTCTAAAGGGGGGCATAAGTGGGTCAGTATAGCACATGTAAATTGCTGTATACTAAGAAGTTCTTAACTTTTTAAGTCATGGACTCATTTTGAAACTATGACAACAGTAAATACTCTTCCCAGAAAGATGTTGATATGTATAAAATTTTCTCTATGAATCCACAGGATTACCAGACATTTCCTAGATTAAAGACAGGATTGAAAAGATTTGGCTTAGAAAATGGGAATAAAATTACTAATTTTAAGTGAATGTGAGAACGTTTTCAACTTTTTTGAGAATTAAGTAAAAATAAGGCATCCTTAATTTATTATGGTATTTAAACAAGTTTAGTCTTTAAATTGTTAGAGTTGTCACTTGTTAGAATTCCTTGAAGAAAAACTTCAAAACTGCTTTTAAGATGTAAAATACGGGTAGGTTTATTGAGTTAGGTGACTATCAAGTTAGGAATCCGAGTTCATGGTAATACATAATGTAACTTTTGTGGGAACAGGTGAAATAATCGACTTTATAGCTGTAATTATGTATGTTATCTGAGTAGAAACTCTTGAGGTTTTAAGGCATTACTATGTTGTCATAGAGTCAGAAACTCGTTTTCAAGGTTTGGATTCATTTATATAAAATAGTTCCAAAATTTTTATAAGTATGTTCCTACATAAATAGTATAATCTATATAATCCATATTACAAATTCAGCCTTTCAGAGTTGTCTTTTCTGATATTCTTTCCTTCTTTTTTACTTGGTACATGTGTAGTGTTCACAACTGTACTAAGTCCTTTGAGACATCATTTTTGCCTTGGCTTCTGTGACACAACATTTTCATGGTTTCCTCCTCTGCACACTTCTTTTCCATCTTTGCAGGCTGATTTTCCTTCATCCAAATACTAAATGTAGCCATTCTTAAAAGGTTAATTTGTCTCTGACCCTCTTAGTATGTATTCTTTCTAGAAAATCTAATCTATACCCACATTTTCACTTTCTACCTATGTGCAAATGAATAAGGAAGTTGTATCTCTAACCCAGACCTTTTCTGAATTGGTTATATAGCCCATTTGGCTACCTGTCGCTTTTTGGCTGTCTTAGAGGAATTAATAACCAGAGTCATCCCCACCCACCCCCTGCCTCCAAGCTCTTCTTCCAGTGTTCCATGTCTTAGAGAGTGACACCACCATTATTCAGTGACGTAAAGCTGACCTTTGGGCGTAATCTATCTTTGCTCTCTTCATATCTGAACATTATTAAGTCCTAAGTATTGTATCTGCAGAATGCCTCTTAGTACCTATCTATTTCTTGCCATCTTTCACAACTGAAAGTAATCTACTGTCCTATTATGAACTATTAGTATGAAGCTAAAACTGTGACTGTCAAGTTAGTTTATGTTCTCATATTGTTTGTTTTTAATGGCAATTCTTCAGCCTGATGAGGGTGAGGTGAATATGTGTTGGGAATTAATCAATGTATGTTTTTGGTTTCAGCTCTCAGTTTTACAGTGTCTTTTCTGAAGTAGAAATGTAATTACCTACAATCTGTTCAGTCTTTATGGACCATAAATTGAGTTTAATGAGGACTTTGGTAAACTAAAGTTTGGTTAAAAGCTTCCAGGGAAGAAAAATCCCTGGTGGAGGGCAAAATCATGACCTATGTAGAAGGCACATACTGTACTAAATATAAATACTGAAGTCAGTGTGACCCCAGGGAGGTAGGCAGGTAGTACAAAAGACATGATCTTAAAATTCAAAACAAGCCAGGAAGTTTTGGGTTCATAAAAATAATGTGTGTTTACATATAAAACATATACTTCATTTTTTCAGAACTATAAATTATATATATGATTACAAGTTTTTAATACATAATACAGAATTATTTCTCTTTTTTCAGATACTCAGAGTAAGGGGAACTTAATTTTTACCTAAAAAAAAAAATTAACAGTAATTTGTTGCTTTTAACATGTAATCACCTCATTTTATGATAATATGATAAGAATGGATTCTCTTCCATCCCATTTTTCATACCCAAATGTATTCGTTGTACTTCAGCAGTTATAAAACTTGAATCTGAGTTTTGAAATAAAACCACACTTAAAAAAACAAAAGATAAAGTGTTCTGACTGTAAGATTTATGCAAATCAGTCCAGTGGGTCAGCTACATTCCAAAGTTTTGTCTTCCTTCTTTCCTCCCTAGATTTTTACATTATGGCAGGGAGGCATCAGAATCGTAGTTTTCCTCTTCCAGGAGTTCATTCAAGTGGTCAAGTACATGCTTTTGGGAATTGTACAGACGGTGATGTGTTGGAGGAGGATGCTGAAGTGTATGAGCTTCGATCCAGAGGAAAAGAGAAAATTCGAAGAAGTACATCAAGAGATAGACTTGATGACATTATAGTATTAACAAAAGATATACAGGAAGGAGATACTTTAAACGCAGTAGCCCTTCAATACTGTTGTACGGTAAGTTGTAATCTGATTTTGGATAATGCAGCCCCAAATAAATCATTTGCTCATTAGCACAAATTGAAATAAATTCCATCCCTTTTATCTTGTCTTTTTTTTATCTTCTTTCTATATCTTTCTATATCTATATCTATATCTATATCTTTCCTTTTTTTATCTTCTTTCTATAGAAGTCTGTATTACACTGGTAGATGTTAACTTTCTAGATTTTTAAGTGGATACTTGAATTTCTGTCTTTTTCTAAATCCATGATTCCATTTTCAGTATTGAAAAACACCCAGATGGGTTATTTATTTTTTTTCCTTATTCAAATTGTGAGAAATACATGAGGAAAAATTTTTCCCTGCTCTTCTTTCCTGAAATAACAGACTTTGATATGATTCTTTCCATGCCTCTTTTCTGCTTATAAAAACTATGTACATATATATGTATTATATAATTATATAATGTATTTATATATATATATATGAAATACTTCGGGGTATTGGTGCTTTTGTGTTTTTAAAATTGGTTTATACTATGCCTATTACTCGGCAAGCTGCCTTTGCCTTTTTCATGTCTTAGTATATCATAGCATCCCTCATACAGTGCTCATTATTTTATATAGCTATATAATGTTCCATGGTATGGATGTACTATATAAATATAATAAATACTAAGCTTTTCCACTTATGTGTAGTCCGGATTTTCTCCATGTTTGCTTGGTGCAGTGAATATCATCACAACTATATCTTTAAGTGGTGGTACCTTTATATCTGTGGAATAGAGTCCTAAAGTGGGATTGGTAAGATAGAAGAAAAGGTACATTTTTTATTTTAAGAGATATTAAACTGTTTGTTTAAACCTATATATTTATTTGTGTTGTTATGTCCTTCTTACATCCTTAGCATGAAATTTGTTTTCATGTAAACATTACTTTGGAAACCATAGAACATTTTTCCAAACTCCCAATAGAATTTTTGAAATATATGTGCTCTGTACCTCTTTGCACATTTTAAAGTGAACTTTTAAAATATTTCCTAATAACTTAAAAGGATATTATTTCCAGAATGTTACCGAAGTGATATTTCAAAGTAATACTGTGAGAATACTCTTTAAATGTATGCATGGAATTCTAAATACCACTAGGATTTGCCCCCAGAAATCTATCATCTAAAGTATGTATAAATGAGCTTTTTTAATAGCATAAAATTCTGTAGCATTCCTTTTTTCCCCTTGATTAGTATTTTCATTCTTCTCCTAAATCTTTCATAATGTAAAATACTTTTATATTTGAAAACCTTTTATTACCTGTCATAATTCTCTAAGACAAACACATCATATATTTATAAAACACATACATTTAAAGTGAATTTCAAAAAATTTCCAATGACCATGAGGGTCTATGTATAATTTTTTTTTAATAGAGTAATTATTGGTATCATTCACAGTTAATCAAAACATATTACACATTTTTTGAAAATTTAATAAAATATTGAAATGCATTTCTTGAGGTAAGAAGAGCTGAGTCTTGTAAGGTTTTTTTGCAACTCGTTCGTGGATGGCAACACCACTTTGTTAGAAAAAACCTGGGATCAGAAAAAACCTGATTCCATCATTTAATGCAAATGAACGTGAATATGTGTTTTGCAGAGAAATAAGATCGTTGAAAAATAAAGGAATGTGTCTTAGAAGGTCAATGATAGAAAGTAATAAAGACTTTAAAATTAGGGGCAAGGCTAAAAGTATCAAAGCGGAGATCAAGAGAAGAGTGTGGTCCAGTAACTTTATTGAAGAAAGACATTAGTTTTCCTTTAATGAACCTGGAAAATTTTCTCAGAAGAGAAATTTGAGATACTATCTGAATGATAAAAAACAGGTCATATTTCTTTTTTTTTTTTTTTTAAGGTATCATTGATACAACCTTACAAAGGTTTCTCATTAACATTGTGGCTACAATATTCACTCATATTATCAAGTCACCCCCACATCCCATTGCAGTCACTGTCCATCAGTGTAGTAAGATGCTATAGAGTCACTACTTGTCTTCTCTGTGCTATACTGACTTCCCCATGCCCCTACTTACATTATGTGTGCTGATCATAATGCCCTTAATCCACTTATCCCTCCCTCCCCACCCCCAAACCTTTGGGAACCACTAGTCTCTTGGGAGTTTGTGAGTCCACTGCTGAAAAACAGGTTATAATTTCTAATGAGGTAAAAGGAAAGTATTTCAGGTATACGACAGTGATGTGGAGAAGATACCAAGGAGGTAATAGGGTGAACAGAGGGAGTTTAATAGGCGTTTCAGAAATGAGTTGCCACTGATGGATGCAGGACTGTGTAGTAAGAGAACACCACTATAAAGCTTTAACGAGAGTGCTGCAAACTGCAAAATAGTCGGGGAGCCTACTGGTGAATAAAGAGATTATTTGAATAATTCAAATGAAGATGATCAAGGCTTAGATTAAAATATTTGTAGTAAGGATAGAGGAGATGCTGATGGAAAATGTATTTGGGATGTATCAGCTGATACCTTATTTTAAATGGAAGAATGATGAAAGGCAATTACCTTATTAAAATTAGAGGAAAGATGGCATTGGCCTCAGTAGTGGGAAAATTGATACAACAAAGTTAGGGAGTTAAGAGAAGCAATGCTCACTTTTGCCAGGAGCTCAGATAGCAAAAAAAAAAAATGGTTAACTCTATAAAAGGACTTACTTCAAACACAGTAGTTAGTGCTATATTCCACTTATATTCAGTCTTAGGAATTATTAAAAATATACCTGTTTTAAAACAGTGATAAGAGGAACGAAGTCCAAGGTTGGAATCCTAAATGCAATCAAGGAAATTAGCGTAACAAAGTACAGGGATATTCAGAGAACCTAGGTAGATAGTAAATTTCAGAAGCTTAGTTCAGAAAGAATATTGAGTTGTTACTAGAATATACAATACCAAACAAAAGAGCACGAAAGAGAATAGGGCTAGGTTGGAGGTTTGTTAGTGGATCTTCATTTGCCTTAAGAAAAAACATACTCGAGGTAGTAAAATGACAGCAGCCTTTCTTTTCACTGTCTCATCTATTCTCTTCAGTTCTCCATCCTTGTCCGATGCATCCACTTCAAGGAATTGATTTTTCCAATGAGAATTCATACATTGGACTTGATCAGTAATCTGTACTTGATCCAGTTCATCAATCCCTCCTAAAAACCTCCTTTGACCTCCCTAATTCTGCAGATTTCTTATTTTCCTATTGTTAGTATTTAATAACAGCTAACATTTGCATAACACACTCTGTCACTATTCTAAATGTTTCACATATATTTTAATTCACTAATTTTCACAACAGCCCTCTATGGTACATAATAGTATTACTGTCATTTTACATCTGTGGTAACTGAATTGCAGAGAACTACTACTTTGACCAAATCACACAGTTAGAAAGTCAGAGCCATCCTTCGAACTCAGATAGTTCATGCTTTTAGCCACTATCATATATTGCTTTTCTGGCCGCTCTTGCTTAATCTCCTCTGTTGATTTCTCTTACTTATCATACCTTTCAGATGTTGGTATACCTATGTCACCATTTCCTCCCACTCTTTCTAGTGAATCTATCAACGGTCCTTACTTCAGACTGGTAGTCTACAAATCTGTATCTCTAGCAGAGATTATTATTCTGAATTTTAGACACACATCATTAGCTGCCTATTGGACATCTATTTGCATATTTCAAGCTACTCAAAGTCAACATATATGAAATCTTTGTTCATTCTCTTTTCTTCCGCTATAGTGTTCCATATCTCAGTGAACGGCATCATTATCCATTGAGTTGACCAAGCCAGAAAAGTTTTATCCTAGTCTCACTTACCTCTCTGACATCAATCAGGTAGTAAGTGATCAGGGTTTATGTTAAAGCACTGATGGAAATGATGATTCAGATTAATAATATGAAGGTGGTGGGAGAGCCTGGCATAATGATTGGTAAGCTGAGAAACGCTCCCCTGCTATCCCTCCCTACAATGGCAGGTAGACAGGATGTACAGACAGGTTGAAGACCATAATATAGGAAAAGCTTAAGCTTATAAAAATGACCGTATCAGAGGTGGTTGAATAGTGCAACTAGTGAATTTACACTGACAAGTTCAGAGAAAAATAGCTTCAAAGGACAGGTGAGGGAGGTAAATTATATTACTAATTCTAAGGTAGGTGGTTTTAACACATTTTAACATCTCTGAAATTAGAATGGTGGCATCAGTATTTGGTGGTTTTCTCCTTAATGCTTTATGTATTAAAGCAATGGTACATCTTAAGAGTTGATGGCATCTTAGTTTTGATAAATTATGGTAGTTTTAGTTGGGTAAGTTGATATTTGCCTTTATTCTAATTGCCCAGTTGGAATAAAGAGCACAAGTATCTGTAATCCATCCTTCACAAATTGTTCACAAGCAACAGAAGTGTGGTTTTTTGTGAATGATGTACAAAGAAATTTTATCAAAGGATCCTAGAGTCTATTTAAATCTAGCATTAGTGTTAATAATATATAGGTCATAATAAAAAAATAATTGATTTCCTAAGACCAATAGATCCAAGTAGTATAGAACTGTTATCCACAAATAAAATAAAAATCTCTGGGTGTGCTAGCCTGATATTAATAATTAAGGTCAGTTTTTTTCCCCATCCAGAACTGGGATGAATGAATAATGCTATTTCTGTTTTCATTTAGAATTAAGTTGAATGTTGGTTTTTGTTTGTTTGTTTTACAGGTAGCAGATATTAAGAGGGTTAACAATCTCATCAGTGATCAAGACTTTTTTGCCCTTAGGTCTATCAAGATTCCAGTAAAAAAGTTCAGTTCATTGACTGAAACAGTTTATCCTGCAAAAGGAAGACAGGCTTCACGTCCTTCATCTGTTCAGTATGTCCTATAGCAACAGGAAATTTTGTCGGCAAATAATTCCCTTTCTTCCAGTGAATTAGCTGGTAGCTTTTTAAAGGAAGTAGACCGAGACATAGAACAAATAGTAAAATGTACAGACACCAAAAGGGAGAACCTTAATGAGGTGGTGTCTGCCTTAACAGCACAGCAGACACGTTTTGAACCTGATAACAAAAACATTCAACGTAAGGATCCTTATTATGGAGCAGACTGGGGAATAGGGTGGTGGACAGCTGTAGTGATAATGTTGATAGTAAGTATAATAACGCCAGTATTTTATTTGCTGTATTATGAAATTTTAGCTAAAGTGGATGTTAGTCACCATTCAACAGTGGATTCTTCACATTTGCATTCAGGAGTCACACCCCCATTACAACAGAAAGAAATGGAAAATGAAATTGCTCGAACAAAAGGAATACCCTTTGGCCAACATGATGATCATAAACTGTACAACCAAGGTTCTCAGTTACCTGCTGCTCAACACAAAACATAGCAATAAGCTCATAATTACAGTGTTAATGATTACATGTACTTCTGGGAATATTCAACAACCACTTCACAGGCAGAATTTAGGAAGACTGGAGATGCTTTTTTTTCACCTTTTTTGTTGTTGGGCCATTTAAAAATGGATTGAGTATAAAACCCCTAAAATTGCTGTTGCTGATACTGGGAGTGGCACATCAATATGTCTGTTATATCAATGCTGAGAGCAGAAATGAATTTTAAAATGTGTCTTGGAAGTTTTTAACTTGGAAAATGCCTCATTTTTCTTCTTTGAGATTGGTTATGTTTAAATATTGTTTTTTAAGTAATCATTTTTTGTATAAGGTTATTAAATTTATTAAGCAGAATAATGATAGTATCAGATGTCTGCAACTGAAGAAAAGTTTACTACTGTAAACCATCAATATATTCAGTTGGAAAAAGTTGATTCTAAAATTATTTGATAGCACATACCTAATAGTCCATTTTAAAACTTTAAAAGACACATTTAGCACATATGCTGTGAAAGCATAAGCAAAAACAAATGGGAAAGTAATGTGTAATGGCTGTAATAGAGGCTAAGAAATAGATTAATATTTTTAAGTTCCAAAAATAATGTTAGGATTGGGAAGTTGCCATTTGGTCATTAGAACACTGGATTAGGTCGAGACTTAAAAGTAATCTTTGTCTCTTAAAAGAATGCTGCCTTTCCTTGTTTTTTAAGTGATTATATTTGCTTCTGATATTTGAAAATACTTCTGTAATTCTTTGATAAAAAGTTACACATATACAGCTTACAGTTATTTAGGAAATACATTTTTTACATACTGTGATAAATTGTTGCTGTGTTACATGTAACAGGCCTTAATTATATTTAATGCCTTACTACTTTATGTAAGCTTATAGAATTTTAGAATTTAAATTAAGCATTATTTCACATGGTCCAGTTGGATATATAAATTCATCTTCACCTTTGCTATCAAGCACAAGCTAATAATGGGGTCAAAACAAATTTTCACTGTCTCTTAAGTCTGTTGCAGAAAATGGTTCATTAATAAAAGAACATGGTTAAAGGGAACTTTTCATTAGCAGTAATAAACTGTTGATCCTTAACCTGTTTTCAAAGAGAGAATGTCCAACCTAAACCTTTTTTTTTTATTTTCTGAACTGTAGACCATCAGATTGGGGGGACAGAGGCCACAGGTGTCTGGATTGGTCAGAATGGCTAGAGAGTGCTCCTTTTCTAAGATCTGCTATGGATCAGGCACAGTCTGGCTAAATAAGTATTTACATACTGATTCCATCACTTAATTTTTAAAAGTATGTGTTTTAAAAATGTAACCAAAATGAGTCATTAGAGTCTGGACTGCCTGTTTTGTGTATACTAAAGTATGTACCTTAAGATATATAATACCACCTCAATTGTCTGGGCATTATTTCCTAATTTTTAGTGTTTCAGCTTTTTGACCAGTCTTTTTATATTTCAAATTCGAATCTTGATACAGTGGGGTGAATAAATAAATATGGTAAATGAGGTTTTATGTACTTTTAGGAGCAAAGCATCATAAAAAGACAGTCCAAAAAAGTTAAACATTAAAGCCCTCGCATATATTAGCGGACCTTAGATAATTACCAAAAAGTGTTAATATGGAAGTTTCAGCAAATTGATTTTTTGAATAACTTTTATAGTTTAAAATCTTAAAAGTTGTTTAATGTGCCTTGGGCATCTTGAAAAGAGTATGATCTTCCTAATTTTGCTCAGTGTTAATAACTTGGTTAGTTTACATTGTATTTATTAATAAGCCTGCTGAAAAAATCAAGTTTTAGGACAAAAACACAGATTATTTTAGGGTAGAATGGGCTAGATGTCCTTTTTAGAATTTTGTTTACATCAAATTGATGAAATTACAGTCAGTGATTCCTTTTTCTATTGATACTTTGAAATTGAGATAAAGAGGTCTGATTTCCAAAATAACATTTTTTATAAGTAGTAAGGTGTACTGTGCAGTTGCTGATGAAAAAACATTTCTGTCTCGCAATATCCAGTTTCTTGAAATAGAGCATATCCTTATGACATAATCATGCAGTTTCCTCTTTCTATATATTTGAATTAATTGAAAATAATTTGAATTATATATAACTGTCATACAGAATTATAGATTCTAATTGCTCAGTGTTATTTAGAAAAGAAAAATAATTTCCTAAGCATTTAATAGATACAGAATAATTTTAGCCTTTAAAAAGTACCTCTATACATCAAACTTTGTAGCAAATACAGATTTGTTTAAAACTTAATAAAATAAGATTTATCATTTGATACTGTGGATTTTTGTGTTGAAACCCTTATTTGAATTTATTTTGACACTTTACATAATTGTGCAGAAGATGCATGTGTGCAGATGTAAAAGTAACAACTGAATCATTACATTTGGTTCACTGAAATTGGAGTCGCAAGTGAAAAATCTGCTATTTTTAGGGCAGATAAGTCTGGATACAAATGGTTAAGATTGTTTTGAACAAATGGTACCATTTAAACATGTTTTGCCATCTTACTCCTAGAAAATTAAGGGATTCTTGTCTTCAAAAGATAAAGTAAAATAGATTAGAGAGTCCGCTGGCCACATTAAGCATTAGAAGACAAATGTTTAAATTATCTATTCCAGAGGACTTCTTGTTTTTTAAAGTTTTTTTTTTCTGAACTCTTGCTCGTTCAGCGGCCTGAAGAGTTCTTTAAATGAACCAGTAATTAGTTCTTTTTAAAGTATCTACTTCTAAAATGACCTTTTTGGGAATATGAAGGATACAGTTAAGAGTTTTAGAAATAAATGGAAGCAAGGATCAAGTCAAAGTGTTGGGTAAAGGTGCAGTTTTTAGATGTATTTAAATGGTGCATTATGATGGGAATCACCCTTATTACTAATACAACAATGTTGCTCAGGAAATAATTATTTTTCTCCCAAGTATGTGTATATTGCATTGTTAGGACATAAAAATATCCGAAAGCTTTATTTAATTCTTTTAATGTATGCAAATACTATAAATCTTTTGTATAATGTATTTTATACAAATGCAAGGTGAATTGTAGGTTGTTAGTATGTACATCTGTAAAACTTGTTTTTAAAACTTTTTGCCCTTATTTTTCATATTTTAAAAGATCTACAAAATGTAATAAAATTTCTATTTTATTATTCAATCTAAAATGGAAGCCGGTGAATTTAATTGAATAAATCAACCATTTCTCTTCTTTAAACCAGTTGATCTAGAGGGACACAATGTAGAGTTCATTGAATAGTCAAAGGTTTAGCAATTCAGATTTCCCCCTTGTTCTATTGAAACAAAAATTCACTGGGTTGTTAATAGGATGTAAATGGAGTGAAATGAAAACAAATGGTAAAAGAATATTCTTTGGGGGAATCTTTGACCTCAGGGAAGAATACTTCAAGAGACATGGTCCAGGTGGATCAGTCCTATAGCAGTATGCTCTCATTATGTGAGAAGTTTTCATGAAACAGAAACTTTCACTTCAAGAATATTAATTTTTAATAATTACTAGTAGCAAAAAGAACTGAGAAAGTATTAATGGAGGAGTTTGTGGTGCAGTCTTTGTTTTTTCAATTTTTAAAAGCATCCAGATCTTAAAATTGTATTTACAGTTATTTATTATAAAAAGCAAGTTTTTACTAACGCCAGAACCTTTAACCATATTAAGGCAAAGACACTACATTTGAAAGTGGTGGGAGGAAAGGTAAATAAGATCCTTCTATCTTAGCATTGTCATGCCCAGTGTGAGCCCATGACACCCACGGTCATCATGTTGCATGCCAAGTCTTCGTTTGCTCTTACACCTTCAATGACCTGGAGTTTTCTTTTGGTGGTGATAGTGGTGGTTTAAGAATATTTGATACTGTCATCCCTGCTCAATAAATATACAGTTTTTTATTAGGGAAAATCTGTACTAACAAATTGGTTTTCTCTATCAAATATAGATAGGCTCACAATAAAATATTTTAATATAAAACAAAACAATTTTCTTTTGTAAGAATTTAATGTGTAAACAAATACAGAAAAATAAGCATTATAGCAACAAACCTTTGGCCTTTTAGCAATTTTAAAGACATCAGGTATTTTTTTTATGTACATATATGAGGCTATCTCTGCATTAAAATTTACCTGTCTGTAGAATAACTTACACAGTCTGAGATTTTTCAGCCAGAAAGACAAGATTCATGCTGGTAAAGCAACCTGCAAATAACTCCCTGCCTGTTCTCACAATTAAGGCTACTTGAAGCTTGTAGGATCCTGCAGAGGAGGAAGACAGTGCATGTAAGGGAGATGGAAGATGGCCAGGGCCTCCCAGAGCCAATCCTTACCCAAAGGGGCTGTCTTACCATCAACAGGACTGAAGTGGTAGAGGCAAATTGACAGCTAGGAAAAGAAATACCTGTATCTTTGGTGTATAAGGTCAATTTAAGCAATTACCTGCATATTTATAAAGCAAGTAATTAGAATCAGAGATTATAAATTAAATGGTATCTGGCTAAGGAACTGAGGTGAGGTAAAATACCTATGTTAATTATCACAAATTACTGTATTTTCCCATTATAACTGAAAACTTTATGTGAAGTTTCTACCCCATAGTAGATTACTGCTTTAAAGTAGACTTGTTTGATTTGTGTTTTTCATTTAGTTTTACAATTTTTAATAAGCTCTTCTAAAGAAATTACATGATCAACACAGCACTGAACTAATAATGGTTCTCAAACCCATCTTGAATTATCTGAGGAAGTATTAATATTGAAAGTGATCTTTTTTCCTGAGAAAGCCATTTTAGCAAATAGCACAATATTATAAATTTTCTCCAATTTTCTGTACCAGAATACTAGATGGGGAAATCAGATTATATTTTCTGAGGAAAACATGTTTGTTTCTCCAAACTGTTTTCAGTCACTTTACAAGCTACAATTTTTTAGAGGGTAAGAGCCAAGTTTAAACTAAGAAGTGATCATTTCTATAAGGTAAGAGAATGAATATATATGGCAAATTTTGGTTTAAGCAGTTTTTACAGGCTATTCATCAGTAGAGAAACTAAGGCACAGAAAACTTAACCAAGCTGAATTTCAAGGTTGAGTTTAATAGTCAAAATAGTATTTAGGGCTCTGACTCTCAGGTTAGAGGGTAATGGGTACTGTTTTCCCAAAAGGGAAAAATAGATTTATTTCTTTTGGTGAGTAATATTAATAAGTCATTTTTGAAATGTATGAAAATCTTTGGCATTTGTGAGTCTTTGGAGAATGAGGTGTTTAAGTATCATCCCCCACCCCCCACCAAAATATACAAAGGCAGGGGAGCTAGTTTTTAATTGAAACAAAACATACTGATTTCAAAATGACCTGAGTTTTTTCTGCATTTTTATGTAAATATATTGGATAGCTATGAGTGCTAGGAAGTATAAGAAGCCACTATGCCTCAAAGATTTCACACACATGCATTCTGCAGTGAGATTTATGACTAGAACTTACTCCCATTTTTGTAAAGAACAAAATTAAGATGTCTCAGTCTAATTTTTCATAAGCCCAACTATTTAGAGATATCAAACTTGTTACAAAGGAATGATTAATTCACATATATGGGTATGAAGTTAGCCCCAAATTCAAGTATTTTTAATATTCATCCCAGGTCTTTGTACTTGCTGAGATGTTACCTGTGAAATTTACATAGTTTAGATTGGCATTTTTCCCTGTGTCTGTTTTTGATCACAAAACTTCTAAAAGCTCAGATGGGTTTATATAGTCAGAGTAGCAGCACAGAACATAATGTAAAAATAATTTTCAAGTTTCTTTGTTTCTAAAGTGCTCCATGTGCAGTATTAAGTCAACTTTCAGATTGTGGAAATCCACTGTGATGACTAGTTATAGTTTTACAACAGATCAGCAGTTAAACAAAATTTGTTCAAGTATGAAAGCAGGTTAAAAGATGCGAAAAACTCTTTAGGCACAGTCTATTCCAAATAACACTAAAAAGGAAAAATAATCCATTTGTATACGTAATAGGAATGACAGTTGTTGAGAAGGAAATGTCAGAGACTAATTTGGTAGTGTAACTAATATGTAAACTCAAAAGTGGTCCAACAAAAAAGGAACAAAAATAAAACAGTTCTTATCAAAAATAAGATAGAAGACAAGCTGTCCAAATGTTTAGAAGCTCTATCATAAAAATACTTTTTGAGAAATTTCATAGCTAATAGGTTGCTTCATCCATGTTGTCATCACTGTCTGCACCAAAATCATCTCCATCTTCAAAGTATGAATTTATGTAGTCATTTTCCTAAGTGAGAGACATATTCCTCAGGAAACAGTAAAATGAATGAGTAGTAACAGTATTATTAAAGAACATAATGTAGGCTGTCCCTTTAAATTGATAAATAGCAAGTTTAGGTAATAAGAAAATATACCAGGCTTAAAAGAAGTCTCTACTATTTCATCCCTTAAAAAACACCTTAGTATTGATTCCCATCCATCTGTGCTGCTTTCCTCGAAACTACAACCTTCTCCTGTTCTCAGGCAACAACTAGTTAAGAAAAAATGAAGGGATGCCCATTACACCCTAATAGGATGATAAATCTAACTCATACCATAGTGCGGTGTGATACATGGTTTAGTTAGCTAAACCACTACACACTCCAAACATGTACAGACACTCTAAGAAACAAAGCCAATTTACATGAACATTCATTAGAGTATACCAGAACTGAGGTTCTCAGTCACCCTGCATAACAGAACTAAGTATAGGGATGTCTGCTTCCTATCAAAAACAGGCCCCAAGACACCAAATCAAACCTAGAGGATGCCATCTCACATTCCATCTAGGGCCAGCTTCCTATAGTTAGGAGGGAGTAAGCCCATGGGAATAGAAGAATATCCAATTCTTGTGACTGAGTAAAACTATTATCAAGTAAATGATTCGTGATAATCTCTGCTTTCTATCAGAAACACAAAGATCTGTTTCACATATGGGTTTCATTGTGTTAGGTGTAATAATGATATTATGATGGTGTTGAAGAGGCCTATTTTTGAGTATATACTGAAAAGTTTATGGATTAAATGACACAATATCTGGGATTTGCATTACAATAATCCAAAGGCCTATGGGGGGCTGGAAGTGGGGGAACGAGTGGATTGGGTAGATGAATGAATGATATCGTTGATGAATGAATCTAATGAATGATTTATTATATTTTTATATATCATTGAAATATTCCATTAAAAAATTTTATCTCCACTTCCACACTGTCTATAGCAGGAGTTATGACAGAGTAAGAAATAAAGACTATTTCCCAAAGAAAGTCTGGGTATCAGCTTTTTTAGTATCTGCACAGTAGGATTTTATATATAAATTTATATAAAAATGCAAGGTAATTTGTATCACTCAGATGTGATATTTCATTACTTTGTCTTCCCTAAATACTCTATTTCTGCATCCAGCTAAGACTCTTACCGTGTCCAGGAGTTAGCCTGGTTTCTCTGGTGCCATTTGAAATCCAATAATGTCTGGAAACCTGGCTCAAGCCTTGGGGCCAGTGGACCAGGGAGATGTGGCATGGTTGAGGGTTCAAAAGAGGCCACCTTGACAGTTAGATGTTGGCAAGGACTCTTGTGTGGAAATATAAACAAGACAATCTGTACATAAAAGTGGAAATGAGTAAGAAAGTGATACTCTACTAGTCCAAATCAAGCATATGCCACTTGTGTTTTGGACATGAGCACCTCCAAGAATGTTCAGTGATTCACATCCGATGTTTTTTGTGATGTTAGTAATCTTGATACAGATTCGGAATGAGAACTTGTTCAAACTGATGGCTTAAATGGTTCTTGGCTTTTATGTGAGCCTTTGTTTTTTTCTTAACAACATTCAGAAGACTAAAGAAAGTCTGTATTTCCTCAGTTTTAGTAACATAGATAATTTGCACCATTTTACTATTTAAGACAAAATGCTTATCAAATTCTCAGTACATTGGTAGGTTAATTAGCATGAATTTTTCATTAATTGCTGAAAAAAGCAAAGAGGATTAACTCTTAAATCTAGAAAGAATTTGAGCTCACTCTGCCTCCCACTCAGAACATCTATCATTTCTCTATTAAAGTAGAAAGTTTTTGCTTTTTTGAAAATGAAATATAGTTATACAAAGACCCTGGTAGTATAC